CCACCTCTGTAATCACTAGCCCTTAGGCGGCTGGACAGAGCTCCGTCTAATTAGAATCGTACACTGCCCTACCATAGGTGGTGTTAAACACTTTGCGCAGTGCAAGCGGATATCCCTGAGTACGACGTGGCAACTGGCTGAGGCTGGGCATCGGAAAAGAGACAACAGTTAGATTGGCGATCCCTATCAGGGCATCGAACCGAAGAGACGTAATTGCTCTTTGGGCTGTTGTGCTATTCCTAGAACTGTATTAAGATAGCGTTTCAGTCCTTTTTTGGAAATTCCCATCTTTGGCAAACTCTACCCCTGATCTGGTCGTTACAACACGATTAGTCCCAGGGTTTGCTGCAACCAGCTTCATGGATCCAGTAGCACATGACCACGCTCTCTTGTAATTGTCGAGGACACACACATCGGGTACTAGAAGGGAGATCCATCTACATACACGGCGATAACATACGATACTGTGCGCAACAACCGTGCCCACATTCCTCGGACGTTAATACTCATTGTCCGCAGTGCGAAGAAGGATTACATGGAGAACTTTCAGAATCCCTCGCAGTCTTGCAACCCGAAGCATCTGGCTCAGGACCCAGAGCTAGACGAGACACCCTTGAATCGGTCACTGACCATCTCTGCTCAATCGCCCTTGGAGAAACTGAAGTACCACCAGAAGGTCCCCCAGACCCTGTGGAAGAAGCTTTAGAAGACTCCGAACCACCGAGTCCGAGTCCGAGTCCCCAATGTTCCCCCACTCCACCATCTTCCCCATCAGATCCCGGTGCAATGGCCAAGAACCAAGACAATGCCACTTTCACAAACGGAAGTGCGATGAAGCCCGATGCCTTCGACAGCACAAAGTCCAAGTATATCGCTTGGAAGACACAAATAAAGCTTTATGTAGTCACGCAAAGGAAGTGGCTACTTGAACAGTTCGACAGGGTCCTGATGATCTTGTCTTACATGAAAGGAGGACATGCTGGCGAATACGTCGCCACCTACATGAAGAAATACAACACCAATGAAACCATGGTGATCCAGACCACAAACGCGCTATGGACAGATTTGGATAAGCATTTCCTAATCGACGAGCAAGCCGAAGCCTACGACCGACTGCAGGCAATGCAGATGGGAGCGCTTTCAGCGCAGGAGTTTTTTTTGAAGTTCAAGTTGTGCGCCTTCCAGGCAAATATTCACGACTTCAAAAATCACTTTCAGGAACTCAAATCCCTTCTAGAAAAAGTGCTTCAGGCCGATATCATTCAGCTCCTATACAACTCGTCAGAGGAAATTCCGACTACATACGCGCTGTATAAGCAAAGGGTTGCTTGCATCGACCTAAATCAATGGCAGTACCGTAGACGGAATCCACAATCCCAGCGGCAAGGACAATTCCAGCCTCGACAGCAGCAGGCACAAAGCACACCACGAGCACAGGCTAACGTAGCCACACCAACTGCAAGCGCCCCAGTTCAGACACGCCGCGATAGAACAAGCGTCACGTTCGGTGGCAGAGGCCAGCCAATGGAGCTAGACCAGGCACAACGCTTGGGCCTTTGCTTCTGATGCAGAGAAAAGGAACATCTTTTGTGCAATTGCCCTAATCGGCAACAAGCCCAACAAGTATGGGCCGCAAATTCCCTGGCAGTTCCCACTGCTAACACATTCACACCACTCGCATCGCTCAACGAAGCACTAGCAGCAACGGCGGAACCTTTTGATTGGAAAAAGGCAATTCACGATGAGATTTGTGCAGTCATGAAGGGTTTTGCAAGCGGTCAACCGGGTGCGTAGCCGAGTTGACCGAGCATAATTTTACAAACTATCTGTGTTTCTGGTTCGGTGTACCCATGTATATACCAGAGAAAGGGGCGTTCACAGAGCGGCGCGAGAGGTTCAACCCTCTTGCTTAATTCCTCTGAATAAAAAATTATCACCTACGCCAGAACATCAGACAGAACCTACGCAGTGGCAGCGCTTAGACTGTTGACTAAATGGGTACACTCAAAGAAGAGTGTTGACGCCTCTGAAGCCTGTATGAATCAGATCAGGCAGATGAAAGAAGAGGAAGCAATCGACTTCCTAAATGAATTACGGAAACAACCTCACTTCATTCGAGGAAGAAAGGGGACGCAGACGGATGTCCCCATGATTGTTACTACTTTAGACACACAACAGCACTTGTCAGTCAAAGCACTGTTAGATACGGGATATACAGGATTATCGATTGATGCGCAATTTGTACGTGACAACAATATCGCCACGAAGAAGTTGCCATCTCCGATTCCGGTATACAATGCAGACAGAACGCACAACGCCAGCAGAGCAATCACAGACTTCGTCAAACTACGGGTTGAAATTCAGGATCACGTTGAACGGCTTCCTTTTGCCGTTACCAATCTAAGGAAGACTCCAATCTTCCTAGGATATGAGTGGCTCCAGATTCATAATCCATCAATTGATTGGCAGAAACACGTCATTCAATTTGATCAGTGCCCGATCACTTGTAAATACGCTGCCCGGTTAATTGATATTGATGCCGATCACGAAGAGCCCAGCAATCTGGAGGCTCACCTAGAAGAAGGGGATAGAATCTTTATTCTAGACCATGAAACCTATTTTGCCACGAGAGCAGCGCGTATTCACACCACGGCCACTGATCTAGCAATCAAAGAGAGTCTGAAACACAAAACCAAGACTTTTGAAAATACCGTCCCGAGCCACTATCACGACTACTCTGACGTATTTAGCAAAGAAGATTTCGACTCTCTACCGCAAAGGCGACCATGGGATCATGCGATTGAACTCACACCAGGCGCGCAACCAATCAGTTGCAAAGTTTACCTGATCTCGGTAAACAAACAAAAAGAACTTGATGAGTTCATAGAAGAGAACTTCAGAACTGGAAGAATCTGACCTTCGAAGTCCCCGTGGGCTTCACCCTTCTTCTTTGTCAAAAAGAAAGATGGACGTCTT